CTGGGCTTTTTCCTGTGAGCCATTAAAATGTGAGGGTTTTGATGAGAGAAATAGCAAATTAGATATTTTTTGTTTCTATTTTAAAAGTCTTGTTAAAAACATGCCTTTTATTTTTACTTCCCTCAGATCCTTTCTGGAAGCAGCTGGCATATAGAGTCTACAATTTGTATATTTATACATAAATTAATACATTCATAAATGAGTAAAAATTGTCAAACCCCGTTTGACCAGGTCTCATCTGGAGAGTGAGTGGTGGGTCTGTCTGGGCAGTTCAAGTCCACGACTGGTTGATTGGTGTGGACATTAATGCTAGAGTTGTCTACCACTGCTGTCGAGTTAATTCCAACATAGCAGTCCTGTAGGACAGAGCAGAATTGCCCAATAAGGTTTCCAAGGCTGTAAATCTTTACAGAAGCAGACTGTCACATCTTTCTCCTGTGGATCAGCAGGTGGGTTCAAACCCCTGACTTTTCCTTTAGCAGGCAAGCACTTAATTACTGTACCATCAGGGCTCCTTCGAGTGGTCTAGAGGGTAGAAATTACAGGGGAGCAGAGCTTTCCTTCAGGAAAGGAAGAACATTCTAGTGAGTTGTCCCAAAGAAGTGAAAGGGCTGTGATGGTGGCTGGGATGGCCAGCTCACACCGGTCAAGAATGGTGGTGGAGGGATGCTTGCAGTGGGAGGAGGTGGGGCTGGAATTTGCTTTCAACTCCAAATTTTTATGATTCTTCCCAGATGTTCACAAATCCCAGACAGCAGATCAGAGTAGTTCTTTAGAGTCAGAGGGATTCTTGATCAACAGAGAAAGCAGTACCAGTGGTGGGCATGATGTTTGCATCTCAACAGAGGCGGAATGGAAAGGAGGCATGGCCAAGGAAGAACGTTGCCGTGTTTAATGACGTCACGCATCATACCACTTTACACTTTCAGACTTTATTTAAAGCTTAATTATGTGCCTCACATCTTACTCCCCCTACCCCTCATTGGCGTTGAGTTGATTCTGAGTCATGGCAATCCCATGTGGGGGGTTGTTGCAGAGAACTATGCTCTATAGGGATTTAATGGCTGTGACCTTTCAGAAGCAGATCTCCAGGACTTTCTTCCAAGGCTTCTCTGAGTGGGTTTGAACCACTAACTTTTCGGCTAGTAGCTGAGCGCTTATAAGCAGCCCTGTTGGCACAATGGTTAAAGCACTTGGCTGCTAACCGAAAGATCGGTGGTTTGAACCCCCAGCCACTCCATGGGAGAAAGATGTGGCAGTCTGCTTCTGTAAAGATTCACAGGCTTGGAAACCCCATGGGGCAGTTCTACTCTGTCCTATAGCATCCCTATGAGTCAGAATCGACTTGATGGCAATGAGTTTGGTTTTGGTTTTTCAGTTGAGTGCTGAACTGTTTGTGCCACCCAGGAACTCCCACATTATACTAGATGCTGAGAATTCACATCTTTTATTTCATGATGTATCAGGGCAGGCTTTAATAGCTCTGTCTTACAGCTGAAAACTCTAAGGCCAGAGGGTGTTTTCTGCGAGTCAGCCCGCCTATTAGGAGCAGAACCAAGGCCATACTCAGTGTTCCCTGACTCTGGGCTAGCCTCCATTGCACCAGACCCCACACCACCCAGCCACAGGCAGGAGTCCCCTCCTGCCCTGCCATGTTTCTCCCTTCCCGGCTGCTAGAGAGGATTCTGAGCGTATCTTTGCAGAATGTCATAACAATCCCTGACAATATGAAAAACGGAACAGAACAGGAGGAACAGGCTGGGAAGGCTTCCCCCTCACTAAGTCCCTGGGAGATGTCAGGAAGGAGCTCCAGGTGTGTGGAAAGAGGGTACCAGGTAGGCACCTGGGAGGCCTCAGTGACTCTGCTTGGCCTGACCGTTGGCTTCTGGCAACGGAGAGGATGAAGAATGCCGTTGTGTTATGAAGCAACAGGGAATGCTCTTCCAATTTTCAGGTATGAGTGCCTGGCAGTGTGGGAAAATCAGAACTTTTATGACACGAGAAACACAAGTTGAAAGTTGTATTTTGCTACTGTGCATTTAAACCGTTCAAGAAGGAGGAAAAACGTGCCTCCTGGCCCACAGCTGTCATACTCAGGAACCCTGGTTTCTGGAAGCTCTATCATGTCAATACGGTGTTTAAAGAACCCTTGTTCTAGAACTTTCTCCCCTACGCCACAGACACACACACACACACACACACACACACACACACACACACATACCGTCTAGACTTTGAAGTGCAAAGTTCTGACAATATGAAAAAGGTCAAAAAGTAGCGTATGCAACTGAACTATGAAGGCTTCGGGCTGTTCTGCCGTCAGTGTTATACAGGACTGGCAGTGGGTAGTCATGCTGCAAGATCCCAGGTATGAGTTAAACTCTTCTGGTGGAATCTGGGATTCAACAGAGCAGCAGCCCCTGGATAGAAGGACTGGGAGGCAGAGTCCTTCCTTTCCAACTGGGCCAGGAATGTACTGGGATTAGGATTCTGGAATTTTATGTACACGGACACTCCCTTTTTGTTCTTGAGACAGTTGTGTCCCTGCAACAGCCCAGGAGGCCTATCTTGAAAGCAATAAGACCATTTGGGGGTGGGGTGAGGAATTGGGGGCTGAGGGTGATCAAAGCCGATGAGGAATAACCAGACATAGGCTAGTTCTTCCCATGAATGAACTTGTGAGATTTATTCACTCCTCAACTTGAGAGGCTGGTCCACCAGAGCTGGTGGAGGTGCAGTGACCTGGACTGATAATCCAGAATTTTAATGGTAGACAGACCCAAGTCCTCCTGCCATTTGGGGAAACTGTACGGACACGAGTGAGAGGTCAGCTAAGCCTGGATTCAGAGGTGAGAGGATGTTATTTACAAACAGCTCTTTGCAATGAACGAGTAAACACACACATTTGGTTTGCGATTGAGGGCCTGGCCATAGGAGAGAAAACGACCCCCTACCAAACAGCGTTTTTCTCTAAATGCCCCTTGAATTGAGACACAGTTGCTGGGTCTCCTGTGGTCTATTCTGTGTGAGGAATGTCTTCCCCAGCTTCTCGGACAGAGCCTTACCAATTGGTTCAGGATTAACTCTTTGCTAGCCGAAGTTTTGCTTTCTCTCTTTCTCCCCATTCCTCCCCCTCTTGCTTTGGGACACCTCTCACTGGCTAAGGAATGACTAAAAAGCTGACCATGTGCAGATGCTTCCTGTGTACGAAGTGAAATCACAATCTCCTTATGGGCATGATTGCTTTAAGAAAATAGCCCGCTTCTTCACAACCTCTAGTAGTTTTACTTGGAGTCTCTCCATCAAGAAACTATGTCTTCAGAGTCCAAAGCAAGCTTCCCCAGAGCTTTACAAACAAGCTGGCCCAGCAAGGCAGAGCCTCCTAAGGTGTCTGCCTTGAGCTCTAAGATCTGTGGTCCATTTGCCACATGGGGTGGGACCACACTGCTCAGATAAGGTTTTCAGCATCCTCTGCCTCCCTCCACCCACAATTCAGGACACAAGCCACGTGGAGACCCAGCAAACTTCATGAATTGCTTGCTGTTGTCTCCTGCCTCTGGGAGTGAGTCATGGTTACACCCGCAGCTCTCTGGAGCTTGACCCTCTCTGTCAGGGAAACATTTGAAACACCAAGAATTTCCAGGAACTCCCGAGGTGGAGGGTGGAAGGGAAGCTTCTGCTCCTGGGTGGGTTAAATGAGATAGCCAAGCTATGTTTTTGCTAATTTCTTCCTCTTGCCTTAATGAGGACGGCTGGTTTTGAGTTGAGGTTCCAGGACCTAGTCTGAATGCAGCTTGTGTGCCTGAGTGATGGACTTGCTATTTACACAAGGCACGCTGATAAGTGCACATGTGTTTTTAATGTTTTGGCTTTCTACACCACAAACATGTCAATGTGTATATGCATGCACAGAGTCCGGCTGGGACTTGAGCCGTGAATTTTTTTTACTGTCCTCCCAAAGCAGACACCTTTGTGAGCAAGATTTCCTGCCACACTGAGCAACATTCATCCAGTGCCGCCTCTGTCGTTTGAGGGCCACCTTCCGGTTGTCTCACCTGGAAAGGTGCTGCACTTCCAAAATAGCAAACAGCCCCAGCCAACCTTTCCCCTTGTCTTTGCGGGAGGGAGCCGAGCTCGACAGGCTGGTGATTTAAAAGGAGACCTCCCTCGCTTCAGCCTTCCTGAGACTGCATAGTCGTGAAACGGCCGGTCTTTGTACTGCAGCTACAGAGAACAAAACGGAGGAGGTGAGCTGCTAGTCTGGTGGGCTGCTGCTTGAAATTCAGGAGGGAAAAGTTTAAAAAAAAAAAAAAGGTCTTAATTATCTTGTGGTTTTGCAAGTGCTGTTAAGGTTCCTTGCTTTTCTGCAAGTTGACTCAAGTTAATTACAGCGTTAAACATTCTTTTTACCCATCCTTCACTTCTATCCCCCCTTTCTTTCCTTTAGTCCTTTATTTTTTTCCCTCTCTCCTTTTCTTTTTTTTTTTTTTTTTTGGTTTTGTTTTTTAAGGGGTGTTGACCTGTGTTTAGTTCTAGTAAACCGAACCCTCTTCCAAGTGAAGCGATTGGTTAATTGAGCCGGTGACTGACGTGGTAAATGAGTGCGGCTCGCAGGAGCTGGGAGCTGATTGGCTGCGCGGGGAGACTCCGAGGCTTTGCAACAGGAGCACGGGGCACTCGAGTCCTGCAGCCTCGGGAGTAGGTGCTGCGCGCAGTCCGCCAGCCCGCCGCGCGTCCGCAGCGGGGACGCGACTCAGTCCACCGCGCCGCGCTGCCCTACCTGCCCGCGCGAGCTCACGCAGCGCGCCCGCGGCAGGCCAAGGTCTGCGACCCGCCGGGGGCTGGGCAGGAGCGTGCAGCCGCCGAGCCCAGCAGGGTGAGGACGGCGCCTTTTGTCCCTGGAGATTCCTAGAAGGAGCCCCAGAAGTTTGCGGCGGGACGCGCGCGTGGAGGCAGCGAAGGCAGCCCCGACGTTGCGGGTGTGAGTGCGCCGAGCCAGCATGGGCAGCGGGCGCGGCGTGGGGGGCCGCCGCTGGGCCTCCTCCGGCGTGCTGCTGGCGCTGGCCGCCGGACTCCTGGCCGCGGGCTCGGCCAGCGAGTACGACTACGTGAGCTTCCAGTCGGACATCGGCTCGTACCAGAGCGGGCGCTTCTACACCAAGCCGCCGCAGTGCGTGGACATCCCGGTGGACCTGCGGCTGTGCCACAACGTGGGCTACAAGAAGATGGTGCTGCCCAACCTGCTGGAGCACGAGACCATGGCCGAGGTGAAGCAGCAGGCCAGCAGCTGGGTGCCCCTGCTCAACAAGAACTGCCACATCGGCACCCAGGTCTTCCTCTGCTCGCTCTTCGCGCCCGTCTGCCTCGACCGGCCCATCTACCCGTGCCGCTGGCTCTGCGAGGCCGTGCGCGACTCGTGCGAGCCCGTCATGCAGTTCTTCGGCTTCTACTGGCCCGAGATGCTCAAGTGTGACAAGTTCCCCGAGGGGGACGTCTGCATCGCCATGACCCCTCCCAATGCCACCGAAGCCTCCAAGCCCCAAGGTAAGGCCGCCCGCCACAACCTGGGAACCCGTGAGCCCCGGGACCGGCCACTGCCTGGCCGGGCCGCAGCGGAAGCTGCGGGACAGCCTCTGCCACCCGCACCCCCACCCCGCCGCTCCGCCCTGGAGTTCGGAGGTGCTACCTAGAGGTTGCTCTCAAGCTGTGCAGATGATTTTTAAAAGCTGCTAGTCTGTCCGAGGTGTCGCTTAGCGCCTCTCGCGACCCAGGTGCACGGCGGCGATTGCCCGGGAGCGGCTGTTGCGCCTCTGCCCCACAGAGCTCAGACTCGGTCCTGTTCCTGGAGCAACTCTTCTTGGGATCCACTCTCGCTTTTTCAGGTCTGAAACAAAGCCTAACTCCTTAAGTAAAAGGAGAGCTCGCCTTTCCTCTGCGGGGAAATCTAGTTCCCGTGGAAGTTTTTAACTCGCGAGACGCAATCCCTCCGTAGGAAAAACTCGAAACCCAAAGTGGAGAAAGGCCCAGAGAATGCTAGGCACAGCTTGATTTTCATTGCTTCGTTGAGGAGGATTTTTTATTTTTAAATTTTCCTTAGCTAGTCTTGGAGCCAGTAGCCCCAGGACTTGTGAATAAAGAATTTTAGACGTTGTGGGGATTTGGATTTTTCCACCCCTTTCAGTCTCTTAATTCGGAACTCCGGGAGGGTGGGAGGATGGAAGACCTCTCTCATTCTTGCATACCCGCTGCTTCCCCCATTTACACAAATTCTCAGGTAATTAGAAAGATAAAAAGTGTAATTATCTCATTGTTCCTCTTCTCCTTGGGGAGCGGGGCAGAGGCTCTGCAAATTGGGGGCTTCTCTTACAGTCTCTGGAAGGGCCTGTTGGCCCTCCCAGACCCCCTCCCTTCTTTCCATTTAAAGGGCAGCTCTGGAGTGGGTGGAAAACAAATCCTAGGTTGGCAAAATCGCAGCGCGGTGACCTGACCGTTGTAGGAGTGAATTCAACCCTCATTTCTTCGGAAGCAGAGTTTGGACTCAAAGCTGTGAACATTGGGATGGGGGAGCCATATACCCTAGGTGCGGTTAGCACAGATGCCTGGGTCCTCAGGGCGTTTTGGAGAGGGGCGGTGGGATGGGGGTAAGGGCCGCTTGCTTGCTTAGCCAATCATCCTGAAGTGTTCAGTGACTTTAACCTTTTCTGTTATTGATGCCAAAAGAAGAAATGCTTACCAAGGGCCGGAACAGTCACCTGGCTCCCCCAGAGTGGAGACAGGTGCGGGGGAAGGGCACCCTGAATTTGGAGTGCTCTTGCTTATTCTAGGGGAGGGAGGAGATGGGTCCAAAGTGACTGGCGTTGGGCGGCATGGACCCCAGGGCCAGTGGGAAAGGCAGCAGCCTGCCTGCAGTGGCGGGGTCAGGGCATCTCTTCTCACTGCGTCCTAGGTGTCTGTCTGTACAGGGTTAACCTTCAGGGAAATGCAGGGAAATGAGAGCGAGAGCTGAGCAATTACCTAGAGCAAACAAAGCACTTTGTGTTCTGTCCGTGTGGAACCATCCCGTGCAGCCCACAGGATTTTCCTTCTCTCCTTCCTGGACCAGCTGGGGGATTAGCCCAGCCCTGCCTGGAGAGGCTATGGCCAGCTCTGCTTGGGCTGAGCTCAAGTCCACCCCCAATGGCCATTAATTTTCTCTTTCTGGACATGAAGTGAAAACTTTTGGGGAAACACCTTCAGCAAAGATGGCTGGAAGTCCACGGGGGAATTGGTGAACTAGATGGGGTGTCTGCTTGTGAGGGGAAGAATCTCCCTGCACCCCAACTCCCCAAAAGGCTGGGGTGGAATGGAAGAAAAGCAAATAATTGCTGTCTTCTTGATGCCTTTTGCCCCTTGGCTGCTGTTCAACTGGCCTGCTACTTCATCAGTAGCCCAAGCCTGGAAATTTGCACTGTGCTTCTCTCTCAATCCCACCATCCCAGCGGTCCTCAGGTAGTCACCCCTCCCGAGAGCAGCTGCTTAGCAGAGAGAGAAGCTGTGAGAGGACCAGGGGTGGGACTTGGGAGCTGGTTCTCCGCCTAGCGTCTTTGGTGAGAGGCCCTGCCCCTGAGAGGGCACATGTTCCTTCCCAGGTGCACATTCCCTTGGTGTGAGGGGCCCACGTGGATTTCCTTTGAGGAAGCTACTGACTGACAGCTGAGGTGGGAGGTCTGTGTGTGTGTGTAGGGGATAGGTTGAAACAGAACAAACTATTGATCCTCATTGATGAGGAAAATTTTTGGCTGGTGGTGCTGTAATAAGAACTGGTAGCCTTGGATAAGAGTAAGTTAAGTATACATGCACTACTTCTAGTCTTTAAAATTTAAAACCAAATTTACAAAGTAACTTCATATCTCCACATACTTGCAGGCTGGTTTCTGTTCACGTACATGGGCATGTATAGTTTTGGGATATTGGGCAGGCCTTTGTGGCCATGTGTTTACTCAGGATAAACCCCATAATGATAAAGGAGTCAGAAGATATCTTTTCCCCCCAAGAGGCTGATGCCCAGACCCCATCAGCATCTGGTGTGGAAGAGACAGTCGTTCTTTTTCCAGGTCTATAGGTGGTTGCTTCCCATCCCTACCAGGTTTTCCTGATTCAAGTTGTGTGAGTGACCACCTACTGTTAGTTTTTATTTTGTTACTGTTCAGGCATGTTGTGCATTAAATCACCCTGGCTGGTTTATTCACAGATTGCAGAGGCCACGGTGCCATATTTCCCTACACGGCCTTCTTTAAAGCCTTTTCTCTGTGCTTCCAGGAGCTGGCCAGGAAAGACCTGCCATGCATGTATGTGAGTGTGTGTGTGTGTGTGTGTGTGTTTGTGTTTGTGTGTGCGCACGCATGTTTGTGTATGTGCTTGTGTGTATGTATGTATGGACGTGTGTGTGTGTGTGTGTGTGTGTGTGTGTGTGTGTGTGTGTTGATTTTTTAAAAAAATTCCCTTAATACCGGTTCCAGTGTTGGGCTTTCTCTTCTAGTCCCCCTTAAACGTTAATAAAACCCGGGCCCTCTTCGTCTCGCCTTCCTTTACTATAGATGTTATTTTAAATACACCTTAAAACAGCGACTTAGTGCTGCTTCTCAGATGGATGACCAGGTGGATTTCTCCTGCTGAGGCAGCCTGCTGGGTCCCAAGGACACAGCAGACGAGGCACAGATTAATACTGCATTACACGTTCCTCCTTTTTTTCTCAAGGTGCTCCACAGTCACCCGTAAGAAAAGTTGAGTTGGTTAAAAACACACGGAGCCCACCCCAGTACACTGTCGCCACCATGAGAGGCATTGCCATCCAGCATAATTGACAGGACTGAGGAAAAGGCCCCTGTGGCGCCCAGGGCCCTGGGCTGTCAGTCGGGCAGGGGAACCGAGGGTGTCCGGAGATGGTGTGTGTGTGTGCAGGGGGTGAGGCGTGGACTTGATATTTTGATAATTCTGACCTGATAGCCACTGGTTTGGTCAAGATTATATTTGTAGAACCTTGCAGAGTGGTAACTTCCACTTTTTTCCTTTTATTTGTTAGATAACCTGTATAAGGAAAATTGAAAAGCACAGTTCACTTTACTGCTATAGGTAACATGGTCCTTTCCATGTTGCAAGATTTCGTTTCTCTTGTTTTTTTTTCCCATGGAAGCAAGACTCATAATACAAAATTCTGGGTAAGTTTTAGCCTGTGTCAGAAACATTACCTCTAGAACCCAATCTCAAGTTCTGTGTAAGAAGCAAATTCCCAGCATTAGGACCGAAAGACAGTCACAAAAAACAGTCTTCTACTTGGAGCATGGTTCCTGCTGCCCCGAGAATCTGGACACAACAAAGATGGGAGGGGTCTGTCAGTGAAGATTAAGGGGTGTGCTCTGCTGGGCCACGCAGGGACCCTGCTCAGACATGGGAAGAAGTAGGCACCATGTGTCTCTGTGTCCACTGTGTGCTGTGTGACCTCCCCACTGCTGATCGGGTGCTGGTGGCTGTGGAACAGCTGGCCCCCGGGGGCACCGTTCACCTGGGAGGCCTTTGCCCATTTCTCTATGTGAGCCATTGGGGTGCTTGGTGGGGCAGAGATGCTGTCACAGAAGCCACTCTGGAGGGGGGAATGGGAGGAGGAGGAAGAAAGGAAAGGACAGAGAGGCCACCTCTTGGCCTGCATGCCT